AAGAAGAAGAAGAAGACGACGACGACGAGTTAAGGTCAAGAAGAATCTGGGAGTGGAAGTGGATCTTCATCAAGAGGTGGCGGCGGATTCAACGAGTTAATGACGTACCTAAGTGAGGGCTTAGTTGTAGACAGTAGTGAAATGTTTGATTTGGTTGAGTGGTGGAGGGCACGAGCATTAACTTGGCCGATCCTAACACGACTGGCAATGGATATTTTTTCAATCCCGATCTCCACTGTTGCAGCTGAACAAGCATTCAGTACAACCGGCCGAATACTTAAAGAACGAATAAACGCATTGCAACAGGATATTGTTGAAGCTTAGGTGTGCATTAAGGATTGGGACCGTTCCGACCAACGCTTACACGATACAATCTCACCGGCAAACCAAGAATGGATCGACGAATTTAATAGATTAACTTTTAATTTTCAAGATGATCATTCTGCTTCAAATTAAATTTTATTATTGTAATTTGTAAATATTTATTTACTTTGTAATTTCTAATTTGTATAGTGTTTATTGTAATCTTGTATAGACTTTGTAAGTTCGTCAAATTTGTAATTCATCCCACAATGATTGCACTCTTTTTTCCTTGCTAAGTTTTTATCCCAATTGGGTTTTTTCTTGGTAAGGTTTTTAATGAAACAATCATGAATTACAAATTTAAAAATCAATGAAGAAGTAATTTTTTTTATATAATTCGTGTGTTCATTTCATATTTCAAATTGTAATATACACATTGTAATTATATAAATATTTATTACTTATACAACATAAAAATATAATATAAAAACAAATTCAGGCAGCCGGTCGGGCATCGGGCAGCCTGAATTTTTAGGCAGTTCGGGTTCGGTCATCGGATAAAAATTCAGACTTTTCAATAGTCACTAAATATTTATTACTTATACAACATAAAAATATAATATAAAAACAAATTCAGGCAGCCGGTCGGGCATCGGGCAGCCTGAATTTTTAGGCAGTTCGGGTTCGGTCATCGGATAAAAATTCAGACTTTTCAATAGTCACGGCCGGCCCGTCTAAAATTTCAGCACTAATTCAGGCTCTTGATTGGATTCAAATCTCTCTGTCTCGTGGGTATATAAGAAATGGACCCCGCACTTCACAACTTTTGCAATACGATTTAGGTCACTCTCCTCATTTTCATCGTACAAATAAAAGGAGAAAGAGGCTGCAGCAGTTGGATCGAAAGAGGCTTTTGCAATACGATTTAGGTCGAAAGAGGCATTTTCATCGTCACTCTCCTCATTTTCATCAGAATCAGAACTAGCTTTTGCAATATGATTTAGGTCGAAAGAGGCATCGGAATCAGAACTGGCTTTTGCAATACGATTTAGGTCGAAAGAGGCATTTTCATCGTCACTCTCCTCATTTTCATCGGAATCAGAACTTCCTTGGTCTGCTTTAACATACTCACCCAGGTAGGAAATTATATTCCTATTCTTCATATTCCCACTTGCATCTATTTGTCCATCGTTCAATTCAAGGAACTTACCGTAAGTGGGGTCTGCAAACATGAACACGTGTTGGCAATTATTCATTGAGGGATTATGATGAATACGATAATCCATGCCATCCGTGGAAATAGAATTACAACAATCACAAAAATTCGGAGCCACGCCTCCAAATGGAACAAAGAACGCTCCAGATCTTGTCCGTCTCCATGAATTGCCATTAGGGAACATGTAAACATAATCACAATAAAGAGGCAGAATCTCATAACCTCTCCAGAAAGAGATAATGTCCTTGATTTCAAGAATAACGCAAGCGGCGAGACCCAAGTAACTGTTGTTATACCATTGATCAGGATGAGGAAGGTTTATACTTAATGAAGATACATCACTCTTATGACTGAACCACCACGGAATTTTGCTTTCCGGCCAATGAAAATGAGCAGTGGAAATGATGTCCTGTAGGCAACATGGAAGAGAGAGAACCATTATTGTTTTATAATCCTACTAGAATCATAATTAGTACTTAATTAAGTAACGAAGAGGTGACTCTAATAGAATTAAAAAAAAGAAAACAAAAAAGGAGAGACATTACCAAAGGTAAATTAGAATATAGAGTTGCAAAGCGCAAAATTCTGAAGCGTACTTCCTCATTAATAACTTTGCGTGCATTCTCATCCAACATGTCACAACCCAAAAATCTCATCACGTGCCACTTAAAATAGCCATTGTTGAAGAAGTAATCATCCCAGTTTTGATTAACCAAGTCTATTGAACTTGACACCTTCTTCAATGAAGTGCAGCAACTCGCTTCAATAAATGATAGAGACAGAGGAAGTCTTGGTAGTGATTCAAGTTTTCGGCAGCAAGTAAGACTAAGGTATTGTAAAGAGCTTAAGCAATGGAAGCTGTCAGGGAGAAACTCGAGATTTTCGCAAAAATCTAGGCTTAATCTTTTTAGGCCGGTTAAATTTTTGATTGAAAATGGTAGCTCTTTAATCGCTGAAGAATCTAATGTGAGAGTCTCAATACATTCCATAGGATGCGATATTTCTGGAAATCTCTCCAACTTTGAAGAAAATTTAGGAGAGAGACACCATGTAAACCCGTTACTACAATCACAAGGGCGCATGCTCGCACGAATAACGGGTCTGGGTTGCACGTCTAATGTTCTTAAATTCTTTGGAAGCCCTGATAACTTGCAAAGAGATGGGCAGCCCCTTAAATTAAGCTTTTTAAGCTTGTTAAGATGTTGAAAATATGATGGAACTTTTTTCAAACTTGCACAGAACATAAGATTCACGCTCTGAATATTTGGAGCCAGTGAGAGATCTGGAACTTGAGTGAGTTTCATGGAGCCTGAGAGATCCATACTTTTTAATTTATTTAAATGCTGTAAAAAAAAAAAAAAAAAGATGTCGTAAGTGCACAAATGTATAAACAAATAAAAGATTAATAATGAAATCCTCCCTTTTTTTTGATAAACTGAGAGAGGAGATAACTAATAACTGAAATTCTCCCTTTGATTTTAAGTTTTTTTTTCCCAAATGATCTCTTGTTTCTGAAAATTAAAATTCAACACCACATAGTTTGTTTGTTTGTTTGGCTTTTTTTCCCCTGAAAATTTCTCCACTATCAATGGCATAAGATTGGAGAAAACAAATTAAAATGGTGTCAGATTTACATTTTTCAATGTATACATAATACATAAGAATCAAAACAACTAGTCTTTAGTGCATTTGTAAGGGGTTAAAAACAATTATGTTTTCAATATCAGATAAAAAGAGAAGCAATAAGATTTTGTAGCACACTTGGCCCCCAAAATTGTCATTTGCTCCCTCAAACTTTTAATTTTGACAATCAACCCCCTGAATTTGTAAAATTATTGCAATGGGTCTCATTGAAGGAATTAAAAGTAAAGGAACTGAAAGGTGTTTTACAATTGAATTGGGATGTTGAAACTTTTCGTCGAACATGCTTTTTCTACACTAATTTAACACAATAATTGTTAAAATAGCACATACAGTAGAAATTTTACAAGTTGAGAGGGCAACTTGTCAAAATTAAAAGTTCAGGGGGCAAGTTTCTAAAACTGCACAAGTTCTGGGGCAAATGGGTAAAATACCCTTATTTGTAAAGAGCTTAAGCAATGGAAGCTGTCAGGGAGAAACTCGAGATTTTCGCAAAAATCTAGGCTTAATCTTTTTAGGCCGGTTAAATTTTTGATTGAAAATGGTAGCTCTTTAATCGCTGAAGAATCTAATGTGAGAGTCTCAATACATTCCATAGGATGCGATATTTCTGGAAATCTCTCCAACTTTAAAGAAAATTCAGGAGAGATACTCCATATAAACCCTTTACTACAATCACAAGGGCGCATGCTCGCACACTTAACAATGGGTCCGGCTACCACTTCTAATGTTTTTAAATTCTTTGGAGGCTCTGATAACTTGCAAAGAGATGGGCAGCCTCTTAAATCAAGCTCTTGAAGCTTGTTAAGATGTTGAAAACATGATGGAACTTCCATCAAACTTGCACAGAACATAAGTTTCACGCTCTCAATATTTGGAGCCAGTGAGAGATCTGGAACTTGAGTGAGTTTCATGGAGCCTGTGAGATCAATACTTTTTAATTTATTTAAATGCTGTAAAAAAAATTAAAAAAAAAAAAAAAAAGATGTCATAAGTGCACTTAAAATTTACGTCCATATTCAAGGCACAACTGTATAAACAATTAAAGGATTAATAATGAAATCCTCTCTATTTTTGATAAACTGAGAGAGGAGATAACTAATAACTGAAATTCTCCCTCTGATTTTAAGATTTTTTTTTTCCCCAAATGATCTCTTGTTTCTGAAAATTAAAATTCAACACCACAGTTTGTTTGTTTGTTTGGCTTTTTTTCCCCTGAAAATTTCTCCACTATCAATGGCATAAGATTAGAGAAAACGAATTAAAATGGTGTCAGATTTACAATTTTCAATGTATACATAATACGAAAACAAATTAAAATGGTGTCAGATTTACAATTTTCAATGTATACATAATATGTAAGAATCAAAACAACTAGTATTAGTGCATTTGTAAGGGGTTAAAAACAATTATGTTTTCAATATCAGATAAAAAAAGAAGCAATAAGATTTTGTAGCACACTTGCCCTCCAAAATTGTCATTTGCTCCCTTACACTTTTAATTTTGACAATCAACCCCCTGAACTTGTAAAATTATTGTAATGTTCTCATTTAAGGGATTAAAAGTTGAGAAATTGAAAGATGTGTATTACATTTGAATTGGAATGTTGAAATTTTTCGTCAAACATGCTTTTTCTACACTAATTTAACACAATCATTATTAAAATGGGGCATAGAGTAATAATTTTACAAGTTGAGAGGGCAACTTGTCAAAATTAAAAATTCAAGGGGGCAAGTTTCCAAAACTACACAAGTTCAGGGGGGCAAGTTTCTAAAACTACACAAGTTGAATTGGAATGTTGATATTTTTCGTCGAACATGCTTTTTCTACACTAATTTAACACAATCATTGTTAAAATGGAGCATACAGTGACAATTTTACAAGTTGTGAGGGCAACTTGTCAAAATTAAAAGGTCAGGGGGCAAGTTTCTAAAACTGCACAAGTTCAGGGGCAAATGTGTAAAATACCCTTAGTATGACACCAAAAACCTCGAAACAAACTAAACCCATTAAATCAAGACTGATATTTCATGCCTCGGTTTAAATCACAAGGAAAAAATTAACAAAGATAGTCATACCTGGACACCTTCCCAAAGTTTTTCAAGTTGGCTTCCGCGCATGTCAAGTATAACAAGCATCTCGGCAATAAAATTTGTAGACAACGATTTTAAAGGATATCCATGCCATTGGAGATATCTGAGCGGATTAGGAAAAATGAGAGGACCTTGAGGAAGGTATAATTTCCCAGTATCAATGATTCTGAGCAATCTTAATTCCCACATCCTTAAAAAGGTTGCTGGCAACAAGCTAATCTCTCGACTAAAATTTGATGTATCCAATGATATTCCTGTAATGGTTTCAATTCCCTAAAAGTTAAGAACAAGGAATTAATTAGCATATATAGCTTACGACAAAAACACAAAAACTATTCATGACAAGCTAAAACTATAGTTAGAAGAATAATATATAGTGGCTTTGAGGACTTACTCTACCATTTTTTAGTGCATGATAAATATCATCTGCAGTCCAGAGCCTACTACCTTTTCTGGGATCTTGATTAGTAGACCGAAGGCTCACAATTTCAAAAGCCATCATTTGTATCAAATCATGCATCCATATTGTATTTGAATTCCCAGAAATTGTTATCAGAGCCTTATCAATAAGAATTGGTATTCCTTCTGTAGCAAAGAGATCACAAGCATCTAGTATTTTTTGTACAAGATCTCTTTTCTCCCCTTTAAAGAAACACGCGATGTCAAGAAATAAATCTTGTTGAGTGTCATCTAGTGAATCATAGCTTAATTTCAACACACTCAAGATTTTCTTATCCGGAATCTTTTGCAATTTCCCCAATGTACTTTCCCATTCTTCTATGCTTTTAGAAAAGAGGCGGCAACCCAAAACTTTAAGCGCCAATGGAAGACCTCCAGCATATTTTGCTATCCTTCTTGACAACTCATCTTTATCAGCGGTAGGAGAGTTCCTTTTAAAAGCGTGAAGAGAAAAAAGTTCAAGAGCTTCAACATATTCTAATCCATCTACCTCGAACGTTCTACTTACTCCAATATTCCTAAGCACTTGTTGATCTCTACTTGTTACAATAATTCTACTTCCGGGACCAAACCATGAAGCATTGAATAATTGTTCTAGTTGTTGGGGATCATCTACATCGTCAAAGACAATTAGAACCCTTTTCCGACGGAGCCTGTCCTTTTCAAACTGCAACGTGACGCTATGTGGACTTCCAACCTTCAACAGTTCAGAATAAAGTTTATTTTTCAAATGATTTGGCTCATGTTTCTTCGATTCCTCTCGAATATTTTCAAGAAAACTGCAAGCTTCAAACTGGGAAGATAGTCGACAAAACACAACACGGGCAAGGGTTGTTTTACCAATACCACCGAGGCCCCAAATGCCAACACTACGAACATCTAATGAGCCAATATGTAATCGTGACTCAATTTCCTCAATGCGCTTAGTAACTCCAACCAGGCCCTGCAAATAATCTTCCCTTGCCATAGAAATATCTTTGAGTTTCTCGATTACATCATCAACAATTTTGTCAACTAAAGTGGATTCAAGCCTGACAATGTGTACACATCCAAATATATAGTAATTAGAAATCAAAAAACCGATTATTGAACGTATTTGACAGTAATTCATAACTTTTTAGATTTCAAAAGACACAAATTAAGATTACCTAGATGAATTTGAATCCCAACCAGGTAGATCGGCTATTTTTGTCAAAGCCTCTCTCCATGCTTGCAACTTCTCATCCTCAAAACGCTCCTTATGTTTAGCAAACGCATCTGCATAACTTCCTTTTTGTTCTTTTACATATAACCGATCAACATTGTAAAAAACAGGTAACACTTTAGATTGTCCATCCGTTTTCTTGCATTGGAGAATGTGTGCTAGTTCATCTAAGCACCATCTTGACGAAGCATAGTTTTTCGACAAAATAATTAGACAAAGCTTTGACTCTTTAATTGCACTCGAAAGCGTCGGTGATATTTCATTCCCCTTGTTGAGATCATTCTCATCTATGAAGGCTTTGATTTTCGCTCGACATAAAGCACTATGAAGATGGCTCGTAAAATTAGAACGAGTATCCTCACCTCTAAAACTGATAAACACGTCATAGTTAATCTTCGAAGAGGAACCACCACCAGCAGCCATAATCGTAGCCAAACCTCCAAAATGATTAAAAAGCCAATTCCTTAACTCCCTACACACACAGATACATATATTCAGATCAAGAAGTCCAGTGACTAGGTAAAGAACACGATGTTATTGATATATATATGTTGAGACAGAACATAGTGCAATCTTTTGAAAGTCAATACCAACCATATGCAAAGAATCACCAAAAGCGATCCTAGATTATTCAATCAAACTAAATAATGATATATAGTAGCAGCGATAGTTCCTTCTCAAAAAAAAAGTACACAAGTTATTTGATCAAAAGGTCTTAGAGTACTAGTGTTGCATTATACGGAGATGGAAAAAGGCTATACAACTTAATTAAAAATTTTAAAAGAAAAAAGAATGCAAACAAAAAGTAAAAAAGTGATAACTATCAACTATCTACCTGATTACTCACTAACCACAAAGGAAAAAAAAAAAAAAAAAAAAAGAAAAAAAACACCTACGAAATTACTCTTAAACAAATTATGATAATAATTAAGTCGTGCGAACATATGTCAAGCATAAGGCGTTTTGCATAAACTTTCATAGAATATTTTTAAAGTGATTAATTTCTATTTATTAATGAGAAAGGCATTTTGCACAATTCATATTTCTAAAAAAAAAAACCCCTGAACCATGACTGTTTTCAAATTAAAAAATAAAATCATATTCTTTATAATGATGATGTAAACTCTTTAAAAATTTATAAAATTGGAAATATTGTGAACTAAAATCAACAAAGTTATATTATATATATTCACAAAAATAATTGAAGAAACAAATGCATGATCTACTCTCTATATATAATTATTTATGAAGATAAAATTAGAAAAGGAGGGGTGCTGTAAGAGTGTGAGGTGTGAGAAGATAAGCAAGTCAAATGGACTAAATTCAAACCATTAGATTTAAGTTAAGTGAAAAATGAGTAAATTTCAACCATTGGATTGGTAAGGTTGAAGTACAACTTTTGTACTCTCATCCTCTCTTCTTATAGATAGAGATAAACATTGTACGCATAATTCTTTGCACTATCCGACATGTTATATGTTACAACGTTAAACAATACATTAGGGAACCAAGAAAATGTCCATTGGTTTGTTTATTTGACCTAAAGATATCATGCTACTTTTTCAACTTGGAATAAGAAGATTTGAACTCTACACTTTATTATAGAAAGCTTAGAATTATCACTAGAATTATCACTACAATAATATCTACTTGTCCTTGAATTTTGGAAAAATTTCAAAGGGCTTTTACAAAAACTTTGACTACATTAGGGCATTCTCATTTGACTATTTATCGTAAATAAGAAAATACACGTATTATCATTCCTTCAGTTGAGCTTTGCTTTTTCAAAGATGGTAGTGAATTGGACTGGTCCTTGTTTCCAGTCAAGCTAAACTTCATTTGTTAAAGAGATCTTTTTTCAACTTTGACACATTAGAGATTTTTTTTATTTTTTATTTTAATTTTTTCCAGCTAAAGAGACACGTTATTTTTTTTTAATTTTAAGAAAAAGACACATTAAAGTTGAACGTATGGAAAAAGATTTCTTCAATATTTTGGAAAATTCCATTGAAATTTTGGAATTTTTACGGTCTTGAAATATCTATTGGGCGAGTAATTTTTTTTTGGTTAAAATTTTAATAAATATCGGTAAAAATATTGACTTTGTTAATGTATTTTTTACAGTATCTTGGGAAATATCTGGACGATATCAGATCAAGAAGTAAAATTTGCCAGGTAGAATCGAAGGGAATATTTGATGACGCAATCCTAGGCACTCATATCAAAAGTACAAGAATTAACATAATAGATTATCCATATTAACATAATAGAGATCATTTCTCTTTCTAATACATTATCCATAATAGGCAAGTTCCATGAAAATTAGAAAAAAAAAAAAAAAAATTCTCTTGATTTTCTTTTTGAAAGCAGTAAATCCCTTATATACTTTAAAAAAAAAAAGTTGGTAAATAAAATTTCCTAAGTAAATACCGGATTTACTAGTATGAAACTGTGAATTAGGGGCAGGTATGAATCCATTATATTCACCATTTAATGATAGTGCATCTCCTCTTAAAATTGAAATTTAGATGACATTCTCTAGGAATTTTCAACATATATAAGTATCACGTTTTTCTTAATACCAGGCATTAAAAATGAAAAAATCAGATGATATAAAATGTTAAAGATCTAGAAAGCGGAAGAGAGAAAGAGAGGGATCGGAGGGCATATACCTCAAGATGAGCCTACAATATCAACTGTGGCTGTAGCGCTGCTGCACTTTCTAGTGATCACCGGCGACTACAAGAAAAGAGAAAGAGAGAGAGAGAGAGAGGGAGAGAGAGAGTGGTTGGGGCTATTGGTTTTTTTTTTTTTTTTTTTTTTTTTTTTTTTTTTTTTTTTTTTGTGGTCAATATATCTTGTGGTCTTGCTTTGCAAAGTCAAAGAAATTTCGGGGAAGGTTCGAAGGAAATGAAAAGAAACAGTACTAGCTTTACTATTTTTTTTTCTTCTTTAATAATCTTCGACTTTTTTTTTAAATGAAAAGGAAACGAAAAATGAGGAGCAAATATTAGCTAAGTTATTACCTTATATAAATGTACTCCTTATTTTTTTTTTATTGTTGTCTTTAATCAATTAATATTTTAAAAATTGATGTCTAACTAATATTTTTAGAGGAAAAGATATTTAATAATCTCAAATATCATAGCTAATTCGTAATTTAATGGTCATATTAATATTTTTATTTAAAAAATTAATAGAATCAACATGCAGAGAGAAAAGTTAGAAACATATCGTATTTTTAAGATACAATATGTGTATTTTTACACTCTGTTTGGTAAGAAGGAAAGAAAATGGGAGGGAAAGAAAAACTATAATGTATAAAAAATTAGAAGGATAGAAAAGATTTTGGTTTTCCCTTGACTTGTTTGGCATAAGGAAGAAAGAAAATGAATCTACATTCTCTTGTTTGGTATTGAAAGTGAAACTAAAGGGATGGAAAAATTATTATTGGTGTAATTACTTTTTTGCACAAATATTTTTTATTAATATTCTTTTCTAATTAAAGTATAAATAATACAGTATTCAATATTAAATTAACTCAAAAAATTCATGTAACTTAAACATATATTCCATCTATATTATGTATATATACACACACATAAAAAAAAATTCACAAAACAAAAACCTTTTATGTATACAATACACACATATTACCAGTGCAATGCTGATTATATTATGGCTTGATTAATATTGCAATTATTGTGACAAAAAAATGGTAGTTGAATTTTTTTTTTTAAAAGAAAAATATTTTGACATATTTGTCGTTTTTATAATATATGCGCCAATATGATTTCTCTCATTTCTCTCATTCAAATTTTTTGCTGTAATTGATATGACAATTATTAAAAAATGGTTTATCATTTCTTGGTATAAAACCCCAAAATCATATCTCTTTCAATTATTTTTTTTAACGGAAATGCTTATAAATGCCACCTAAATTTTGTTACGTGTGTAAATATGTCTCTTGAACTTTAATAGTGTGTTTGGTATGAATGAAAAGTGGAAAGAAAGAAAATATTGGAGGGATTTTAGGATGGAAATTGGTAAGTTAGCTTGTTTGGTAGAAAGGAAATTGGGAAGCAAAAGAAAATTGAATGGAAATTGTGATTGGTGGGTCCCATAATATTTAATCTCTCTAAAAGTGGGAGAATTTTAGGAAGAAAATGTGAATAATTACCTAATTGAAGTCAAATTACTGAATTGTCCTCATTTTTCATCCAAAATTGGCGCTCTTTTTTTTTTATAAGTAACTTGATTCATAGTAAGCCATCAAAAGAAAACTTTGATTCATAGCAGAGATATGATTTTGCATGAAAATTTTTTGTGATTGTTTTAAGCATTTTCATTAAAAAACTTGAGAGAATTAAGATTCAAGAGGCATATTAATCCAAGTGATAAAGTTTAGAGAGAATTTATAAAATTTTGTCTTTTTTTTTTTAAAGAAAGCTTTACTAATGCAATGCTTTCTCCATTTCATAGAACCGTCAAAATCTTCCTTATGTGGTGGAATAAATTTTAGAGAGTACTAATCACTAATATGATCATAGAGGGATCAAAGTTCTTAGGAATTTTTCTGTAGCAATGGAATCACCTGTGTAATTTTATTGTCTACGTCATTATTTATATCAATATGTTCTTTTTGAAATTATTTTAGTATGTGTCAATTTTGTAAATATATTATTAATGTGACGTATATTTTAGTATGTGGCAATTTTGTAAATTATTGTTACGAATTATGAAAGTATTCCTTCTTATGTTTAAAAAAAAAAAATATTCCGCAAATTTTAAGAAATGCCAGTAAGTACAAGTTAAAAACTAAGTTACGGTGGCGGCCTCATAGGAGGGTCGTCACAATAGATGCTCCCTTTTAATAAAGTTTTGTGGTGTTGAAAGCTTAATTTGTCTGATCTCCATTATTCTTTTTCTCTAAAGCCCGCACAGATCACCTTCTGTTTCACTCTCACAAGGTGGGTGCTAAAGAAGCTTAATTTTTTTGCTTCTAGATCTGCAAAGGTACTTGATATGGCTTTTCTCTTGCTCTCTCCAGTTCAAAAAAGTACGATGTGTTCATTAGTTTTAGAGGAGAAGATACTCGCAATACTTTTACTAGTCATCTTTCTACTGCTTTGTGTCGGAAAAATATTAAAACCTATATAGACGAAGAGAGTCTTAAGAAAGGAGATGAAATTTCACCTGCGCTCTTGAAAGCGATCGAAGAATCAAAGCTTTCCGTAATAATTTTCTCGCAAAACTATGCTTCCTCCTCGTGGTGTTTGGATGAGCTCAATCATGCTCTCAAGTGCAAGGGAAAACATCATAAACAGCTTGTTGTGCCGGTCTTTTATCACGTAGATCCGTCGCATGTGCGTAAACAAAACAGAAGCTATGGAGTTGCTTTTCCGAGACATGAAGAACATTTAAAGGACGAAATGGATAAGGTTCATCAATGGAGGATTGCTTTGGCAGAAGCAGCTAATCTCTTTGGTTGGCATATATCAGCCACTACAGGGTAACTGTTTTATCTTATAATTTCTGCTTCCTTTAAAAATCAAGTCATTTATGCTAATCTTTTACTAATTTCTTTTGTAAGAGATTTGGTTACCAAAGGTAAAATTTTTGTCAAAAGTTAGGGAAACTTTTATATTCTTTTTGTTCTTATGACAACAGTACTCCACAACAAAGAAAGAAATATATTAAAATGAGAATAAACAAAAGAAAAAGGGCTCAAAAACATCGCAGGAACTTATTTCTTTTACTAAAAACCAAAATATACCTTATCAACAGTCACAAATGTACCTGCATGTGTTCATATTTTTAAATCCTTCATAAGTTAAGTTGAATAGATTAACAAAAAAAAAAAAAAAAAACACTCAAAAAATTGAAGGCAATGTCCAGATCATAAAAAACAAGAATAGAAACTTATTTTATGCAACGTTGTTGGACATTGGCTCGTCAAATGTTCGAATTGTTGGCCTTTGGGGTATTAAAATCGTTGAAACTTATTTTAGGCAACCTTTCTCACATTTCCTCTTTGCTTCTTCATGAGTGCAAAAATCTCAAGGTTGTTCCGGACGACATCTATAATATGCATCATGATACTCTCAGCTTTTCCGATTGTCCAAGCCTTGAAAATTTTCCCCCGTTGTCAACGGTCTTGCCCTCATTGACAGAATTATATGCGAAAAACTGCAACATATTTGAGATCCCTGATTTGCTTTTCTTCCATCATTACAAATACTAAATGTTGAAGGAACCAGAATTGATAGAATACCTGCAAGCATCAAACAATGTTCGAAGCTGCATGAATTAGTTATAGTCAGCTGCAAGAGCCTTTGTTCTCTACCAGAGCTTCCATCCTCGATTGATACTCTTTACATAACTGGGTGCACGTCATTAGAGACGTTGCCGAATCCATTGTTTCCAGACACACAATTTTCGGAGTTCTTTTCAAATGAGTGGAAGAAATGCGGAAAATGTTTGGACTGTAGCGGTTGCAAAGTGAAATGGTGCGGAGTTCACATGTTATATATGAAAGATGCAGAGGAAATGGGCACTGTTGCTAACAATGAGCAATACGTAGCTTGTGAATCAAATGCTGCTATGGTCGAGCCTGCTGAGCCTAGTTGAGTTGAAATTGATCTCAACATCAAGAACAATTGGGAAAGTTGCAGTTTCGATTTAAGCTTGAATAGTTATGAGAGCTCTTTTGTCGGTGAAGAAGTCGATACATCTCTCAGTTCAAACCATTTTAAAGAGGAACATGCTAGTGCAGACAATCCAGGACCAATTACAGTTACGGATTTTTTCGACTCTGAAACATGAGATGAACCGCATCTCAAGAGGGCTAAGTTTTTCGATTACCTTTGACTCTCTCCCCAAGATGAAAGGTATGCTACAAGACTCTCTACGATTCATCTATCCATACACATCTTGACAAAGAAATTCTTGGTAATACAATTATTCATGTGAATATCTTAGTTGTTTTCTCCTTTGAATTATTTAGTTGTACGTCTCTAGGTTAAACTGAAAACCGGTTGGAATATAGAACTACGAGCTCTCCTACACTTTTCGCTTTCTATGACGCAAAGTGATAATGTCCTTGAATTCAAGAATAACGCAAGCAGCGAGACGCAAGTAATTGTTGTTGTACCATTGATCATGATGAGGAAGGTTTATACTTATCGAAGATTCCTCACTCTTATGACTGAACCACCTCGGAATTTCGCTTTCTGGCCAAAGAAAATGAGCATTGTGCTCTTATTGTGCCAAAAAATAATGACCAAACAACATTGAGAAGAAATATATATTATTAGAACTCTCAATCGAGTTCCAATTCAAACAAACATATTAGCACTTTCCCTCGAGTTCCATGGAGCTTTGTCGAGAAACTCTTCTCTTGCAAGAGAAAAGAAGAAAAAGAAAACATTCAAACACATTTATTATACTTCATTGCAATAGAAAATAAATAAGGAAACATAGCTAATAGACAAACCAAAGAAGAACTATATTATAAGACAACAGTATCAATCCCAACACATGGTCAACCATACCATTAAAAGAATGCAATCAAACGAATCGTTAAAATTGAATATCTTGTGAACATAAAATTCAGTTTTCCAAGAAATCAGTATTTACTAGTCAAAAAAATAAAGTTTACCTAAAAAATGTTTTTACTAGCTATAAATGAACGATTTACATAGTAAATGATTCATTTATCACATAAACTGTTATTTTAAATAATTTTAAATATACTATATTTACTAGTCAAAAAAATAAAGTTTACCTAAAAAATGTTTTTACTAGCTGTAAATGAACGATTTACATAGTAAATGATTCATTTATCACATAAACTGTTATTTTAAATAATTTTAAATATACTAAATACATACTTTAGTTTAAAAAATATACTGCATTCTCCCTTACATCAACTGTAGCCAACAAGCCCACAGCACTCAGAGAAACCCAATCAACACACGAAGAGGGATGATCAGCAACAAGACTTTTTAACACCACTTCAATAACATGATTAACACAAAAAGAGAGACAAAATTAACTGCAAAAGGAAATATTATAAATAAAAAAAAACAACCAATAAAAACTTGCCGAAATACTTTAAAAAAAAAAAGAAAAAGAAAGAAAACAACCAATAATGTGAAAGTTTCTCTCTTATTACGTGCAAGAGTAACTGATACATCAGAGAAAAATATTAATTAGCAATTAAATTGTGTGGAACACATATAGAAATGATAAATATTAAATATTACCTTGCATATGACAGGGCAAAAGTGAATTTTTTTTTATGCCCTAATTCTCTTAGGGAGTGGTTCCTCGCCTTCTTCTTGATTGGATTCAAAATAAATGGCTTTTCTTCCTCTTGATTCAGGCTCTTGATTGGATTCAAATCTCTTTGTCTCGTGAGTATATAAGAGGTGGACCCCGCACTTCACGACTTTTGCAATACTATTTAGGTCACTCTCCTCATTTTCATCGTACAAATAAAAGCAGAAAGAGACTGTAGCAGTTGGATCGAACCCACTCTTCTCATTTTCATCAAAATCAGAACTTACTTGGTCTTCTTTAACGTACTCACCCAGGCAGGAACTCATATTCCTATTGTTCATATTCCCATTTGCATCAATTTGTCCATCGTTCAATGCAAGGAACTTACCGTAAGTGGGGTCTACAAACATGACCACGTGTTGGCAATTACTCATTGGGTAATGATGAATATGAAGATCCAAATCCATGCTAACCGTGGAAATAGTATTACAACAATCACAAAAGCACGTAGTCGTCGTATCTACAAAAGGAATAGAGAAAGCCGCATATCTTGTCCGTCTCCGTGAATCGCTATTAGGGAACATGGAAACAGAATTACAACGAAGATATAGATTCTCATAACCTCTCCAGAAAGAGATAATGTCATTGAATTCAAGAATAACGCAAGTGGCGAGACCCAAGTAACTGTCGTTGTACCATTGATCAGGATGAGGAAGGTTTATACTTATCGAAGATCCCTCACTCTTATGACTGAACCACTACGGAATTTTACTTTCTGGCCAAAGAAAATGAGCATTGTCCTGTTGTTGTGCCCAAAAATAATGACCATTATTGTTTTATAATCCTACCAGAATCATAACTAGTACTTAATTAAGCAACGAGGAGAAGACTCTAATAGAATTAAAAACAAAAACAAAAAAGGAGAGACATTACCCTCCATGAATATAGAATATAGAGTTGCAAAGCGCAAAATTCTGACGCGTGCTTCCTCATTAATAACTTTGCGTGCATTCTCATCCAACATGTCACAACCCAAAAATTTTGTCACGTACCGCTCGCACTTGTCACTGTTGAAGAAATAATCATCCCAGTTTTGAACCAAGTCTATTGAACTTGACACCTTCTTCAATGAAGTGCAGCAACTCGCATCAATAAATGATAGAGACAGAGGAAGTCTTGGTAGTGATTCAAGTTTTCGGCAGCAAGTAAGCCTAAGTTCTTGTAAAGAGCTTAAGCAATGGAAGCTGTCCGGAAGAAACTCGAGATTTTGGCAAAATGTCAGGCTTAATTTTTTTAGCCCGGTTAAATTTTTGATTGAAAATGGTAGCTCTTTGATCGCTGAAGAATCTAATGTGAGAGTCTCAATACATTCCATAGGATGCGATATTTCTGGAAATCTCTCCAACTTTGAAGAAAATTCAGGAGAGAGACACCATGTAAACCCGTTACTTCATTCCAAACAGCGCCTGCTCCCACGCTTAACGGGTCTGGGTAGCACTTCTAATGTTATTAAATTCATTGCAAGCCCTGATAACTTGCAAAGATATGGGCAGCCTGTTAATTCAAGCTTTTTAAGCTTGTTAAGATGTTGAAAACATGATGGAACTTCAATCAAACTTGCACAGAACATAAGATTCACGCTTTCAATATTTGGAACCAGTGAGAGATCTGGAACTTGAGTGAGTTGCATGGAGCCTGTGAGATCAATACTTTTTAATTTATTTAAATGCTGTAAAAAAAAAAAAAAAAAAAAAAAGATGTCGTAAGTGCACTTAAAATTTACGTATATATTCAAGGCACAAAGGTATCAACAAATAAAAGATTAATAATGAAATCCTACCTTTTTTTGATAAACTGAGAGAGGAGATAACTGATAACTGAAATCCCCCTTTTATTTTAAGATTTTTTTTTTTTTTTCAAAATGATCTCTCCTTTCTGAAAATTAAATTTCAACACCACATAGTTTGTTTGTTTGTTTGGCTTTTTTTCCCCGAAAATTTATCCACTATCAATGGCATAAGATTGGAGGAAACAAATTAAAATGGTGTCAGATTTACAATTTTCAATGTATACATAATACGTAATAATCAAAACAACTAGTATTAGTGCATATTTAAGGAATTAAAGACAATTCTGTTTTCAATATCAAATAAAAACAAAAAAAAAAGAAGCAATAAGATTTTGTACCACAATTGCCCCACAAAATTGTCATTTGCTTCCCCAAACTTTTAATTTTGACCCCCCGAACTTACAAAATTATTGCAATGTGTCTCATTGAAGGGATTAAAAATTGAGGAATTGAAAGGTGTATTTTAAATTTGAATTGGGATGTTGGAACTTTTCGTCGAACATGCTTTTTCCACACTAATTTAACACAATTGTTAAAATAGGGCATACAGTCATAATTTTACAAGTTGAGGACAACTTGTCAAAATTAAAAGTTCAGGGGGCAAGTTTCTAAAACTGCGCAAGTATAGGGGGCAAATGTGTAAAATACCCTTATTATGACACCAAAAACCTCGAAACAACTTAAACACATTAAATCAAGACTGATATTTCATGCCTCAGTTTAAATCACAAAGAAAAATTAACAAAATTCGTCATACCGGGGCACCTTCCCAAAGTTTCTCAAGTTGGCTTCCGCGCATGTCAAGTCTAACGAGCATCTCGGCAGTAAAATTTGTTGACAATGATTTTAAAGGATATCCATCCCAGTGGAGATATCGGAGTGCGTAAGGAAAAATGAGAGGGCCTTGAGAAAGGTATAATTTACCAGTACCAGTGATTTTGAGCAATCTTAATTCACACATCTTTGAAAAGGTTGCTGGCGACAAGCTAATCTCTCGATTAAAATTTGATGTATCCAAGGATATTCCTGTAATGATTTCCATTCCCTGAAAGTTAAGAACAAAGAATTAACTAGCATATATAGCTTACGACAAAAATACAAAAACTATTCATGACAAGCTAAAATTATAGTTAGAAGAATAATATATAGTGGCTTTAGGACTTACTCTGTCATTTTTTAGTGCTTGATAAATATCATCTGCAGTCCAGAGCCTACTACCTTTTTTGGGATCTTGATTAGTAGACCGAGGGCTCACAATTTCAAAAGCCATCATTTGTATCAAATCGTGCATCCGTATTGTATTTGAATACTCAGAAATTGTTATTAGAGCCTTATCAACGAGAACTGTTATTCCTGCAGTTGCAAAGAGATCGCAACCATTTAGTATTTCTTGTACAAGATCTCTTTTCTGCCCTTTATAGAAACACGCGATGTCAAGAAATATCTCTTTTTCAGTGTCATCTAGTGAATTATAACTTATTTTCAACACACTCAAGATTTTCTTATCCGGAATCTTTTGTAATTTGCCCAATGTACTTTCCCATTCTTCTATGCTTTTAGAAAAGAGGTGGCAACCCAAAACTTTAAGCGCCAATGGAAGACCTACAGCATAATTTACAACCTCTTTTGACAACTCATCTTTATCAGTGGTAGGAGAGCTCTTTTTGAAAGCGTGACGAGAGAAAAGTTCAAGAGCATCAACATATTTTAATCCATTTACCTTGAACGTTCCACTTACTCCAATATTCCTAAGCACTTGTTGATCTCTACTTGTTACAATAATTCTACTTTCGGGACCAAACCATGAAGCATTGAATAATTGTTCTAGTTGTTGGGGATCATCTACATCATCAAAGACAATTAGAACCTTTTTCCGACGGAGCCTTTCCTTTTCAAACTGCAACATGATGCTATGTGGACTTCTAACCTTCAACAGTTCGGAATAAAGTTTATTTTTCAAATGATCTGGCTCATGCTTCTTCGATTCCTCTCGAATATTTTCAAGAAAACTGCAAGCTTCAAACTGAGAAGATAGTCGACAAAACACAGCACGGGCAAGGGTTGTTTTACCAATGCCACCTAGGCCCCCAAATGCCAACAGTACGAACGTGTAATGAGCCAATATGTAATAGTGATTCAATTTCCTTAATGCGTTTAGTAACTCCAACCAGGCCCTGCAAATAAGCATCCCTTGCCATAGAAATATCTTTGAGTTTCTCGATTACATCATCAACAATTTTGTCAACTAAAGTGGATTCAAACCTGACAATGTGTACACATCCAAATATATAGTAATTAGAAATCAAGAAACCGATTATTGAATATATTTGATAGTAATTCATAACTTTTTAGATGTCAAAACATACAAATTAAGATTACCTAAATGAATTTGAAGCCCAACCAGATAGATCGGCTATTTTTCTCAAAGCCTCTCTCCATGCTTGCAATTTCTCATCCTCAAAACGCTCCTCAAGTTTAGCAAATGCAACTGCATAACTTCCTTGTTGTTTTCGTACATCTGACGGATCAACATTGTAAAAAACAGGTAGAACTTCGGATTGTCCATCCGTTTTCTTGCAATGGACAATGTGTGCTAGTTCATCTAAGCACCATCTTGACGAAGCATAGTCTTTCGACAAAATAATTAGACAAAGCTTTGATTCTTCAATTGCTCTCAAAAGCGTCGGTGATATTTCGTTCCCTTTCTTGAGATCATCCTCATCTATGAAGGCTTTGATTTTCGCTCGACAAAAAGCATTATGAAGATGGCTCGTAAAATTAGAACGAGTATCCTCACCTCTAAAACTGATAAACACATCATATTTAATCTTCTTCAAAGTGATGTGAGAAGAGGAACCCCCAGCAGCCATACTCATATTCCCCTACACCCCAAAAATAATCAGAAAGCCACTTCCTTCATTCTATATACACGCATTTATTCAGATCGAAAGTCAAGTTTTCCAAGCAATTAGTTTGTTTGTTTCTTTACAAGTGATTAGGTAAAGAACATGTGGTTATAAATAATACCGAGGTGATATATGTAATAGCCGAGATTTAATTAAGCCTTAAGCCAATAATAAATAAATTTAATAAATTAAAATCATGCATCACATTTGCCATTTACCTTAAAGTTATTTGTTGGCATTATATTTTATTATGATAGCTATCATATGATTTTATTAAACTTATAGCTTCGCTAATCGAGTTTTCAGTTTTAATGTGCAGTACAACTAGCTCGATGTGGGAACTCAATGTGCTAAACTTATGAAGAAAATGAATTATATTTATTATGAATATTTGCTATGAAATTTTACCTCTATTATGATTGCTTTAATGATGAATTATTATTTTATATTTTATTATATGGTTTTATGTAAATGTGTTGAGGACTTAGTTGTTATTTTGAGTTTTTGTGAGAGAATGCTATTTTAGCAAATTGAGTGAACTTTAGGCACCTAAATGAAGAAGAAAAATAAAGACTTTAGAGCTGATTTTAGGAGGTTAAGACAAATGTTAGAGACTTAGAAAAACCTAGACATTTGTCCTACTATAAGGTCACTCTACTTTTGTTTAGTTTCTAGCATGTTTAGACTTCATTTTGGGTCTATTTCAGCAAAAAAACCTAGAACTCCGACCATAACCTTTTCTTCTCTCCTCTCACACCTTTTCTCACCTAAAACTCAGAATCAAACCTAGGTTTTTAAGAGAGAATGAGCTAAAAACTCATCCAGCCCATTTCAACTCGTTTTCAACCTAGAACCAAAAATAACCACCAAGATTTGGAGCTTCTATTCACTTGGGAACACATTTTTCTTTGAGGTAACTTCTTTCTTATGTTAGAAACTAAGATTTCAGAGATTAAGATGTTGAAATCTTACTTGAGATTCGGATTTTTGAAGGGGCTTATTATGCATGTTGGTTGTAGACTCTTAAAAATGAGTTTCTTAAGGTTTTGGTTCAAATATTATTTTCTGGGTGAAATTGATGATTTTAGCTTGATATTATTGATGATTATTTGAAGATAAACTCTTATTAAGATGATGATTCATGTATTTGAGAGTGGTCTTTGAAGATTAGGATATGCATGCTACGTATTTGATGAAATGTTCAAATATAAGTCCTATGTACAGCCTATGTAGATTCTGTTTCCATGCTATATGTACTTATGATTTTGACAGATCTTATATTTTTCTATTATATAAAGTATACATCTCAAGCTTTACTTGAGTTTTTGAATCACTCCAAATGGATTTTTCTACATTTTGTTATGAATTTTATAAGTTCAGTTAAAAAGCTTTCATTTTCCTGACGAGCGAGATTATACTTCAATCTGGATTTCAGGCTATTTTTGGTTAGTTTGAAAAATCCGAAACCCATCATGTAGTAGTTCTAAAAAGAGGGTTTTGAGCCTACTTTTATTTGCTACTGGTCTCATAATATTTTGAGTTTTGATGAATTCGTTATGAATATTCATAATATTGCGCAGTTATGTGTTTGTTAAATGATGATATGAATGTGATTTTTGAAAGCTATGGTTTTTAAAAGGTTAATTAGCACATTGAAGGCTCCCCACAACCAGCTAGTTTGTGCTTGCAAAGTAGTGATCAAAATTCAGGTAAGTAAAGTTAAAAGCATTTCAAAACTGCATCACAAGACCCTATATGATTGTGTTCAAAGAGGACTCATGATTAATTATTTTGAAAGAGATTATGATTTATGCTTATTGTGTTTTTATGTTTTAAGAGATTTTATGGTATGGTATATGGATGAGAGGTTGGATAAGCAGGGGTGCGAGGGACTGGTACCCCAAATTAGAGAAACTGTCTCTTTGAGACAACTAGAGAAAAATGCTAGTGGGAAGTCTCTTGTTGATCACAAGAGAGAGATTCTAAAAACCCCGCTTAGTGTTTAAGAGAAGAGAATTGGCCAAAACTAGAGAAGATCCTGTATAGAGAGGCTTACTTGGAACTGAAGTTCTGTATCATACCTAAACTAAGAATAAGTATGAAAGTTTATGAACAATGTTTAACAAAGAGATTTTAGCAATAGAGATTTTAGATACTTACGTCATTTGAAATCTACTTACTGAGTTTTTGCTCATTAGTTTTACCTTGTGATGCAGATGATGTTGTTGTTACCGAAGAGTAAAAAGAAATATGATTTCCAAGGTTGGCTGAGTACTCCAAGTCTTACATCTGGCATCTTGCTTATATGTACTTCCAAACAATAGATGGGCTCAAAATGTTTTTGTTTTGTTACTATGTCACTTTTGAATAACTATTTAATGTTTAAGATTTGTGGTTGCACACTTACTCATTTTGTTCAAAAACTTTTAAGAAAATTTTGTGATGAAATCAACCACAAGTTTCCGCATCTTAAAAATGATATTGTTTTAAGTATAGAAAGTATGTTTTAAGTAGCACCACCTTGCTAAATTCGGCCTTAGACCGGTTTAGCCTATGGGGGCATTACAGTTTTGGTATCAGAGCCCAGTGTTTAATGTTTTTGAAGACAGTGAAGTACATAGAGACTAGTGGTTGGATAAGATACTCAGTCAATCAGTAATGTTTATGATTTCTAATGTATAGACTAATATATCTTTATGTTTTATATTGCATTTACATGTAAGTATATCTATTTTGGAGCTAGCTGCTGTTGTCTTTGCTCTCAAGATTTGGTGTCATTATCTTTATGGTGAGCACTGTGAGATATATTCTGACCACAAGAGTTTGAAGTATTTATTCTCACAGAAGGAATTGAATATGAGACAACGAAGATGGTTAGAATTGGTTAAGGATTATGATTGTGTCATTAATTATCATCCTGGCAAGGCTAATGTGGTGGCGGATACTCTTAGTAGGAAGTCAGATGTTGTTGGTTCATAACAACAATCTTCATTTGCAAAATTAAGTAGAATGGAAATTGAAGTGGTTTCTCAAGAAACAAAGGCTAAGCTTTCAGCTTTAGTGTTGCAGCCAAGTATCATCGATAAGATTAAGCAAAGTCAAGATTCAGATCCTTATTTGGTTCGTATGAA